AAGATAGAAAACAGGAAGAAAAATAAGCAAGAAAATGATTAAGGAATGAGAAAATATCAAAGAAACGCAGTCATAGGAATGAGAGACGCCGCTCCCGCGCGTATCGATTGACTGGAGCGCGCTTTCCATCTTAAAAAGCTAGGCTGCTGATGCGATTTTGGGCTCTAACAAGGTCAAGAGGAGGAGTTTCGGAACCAAAATTTCACCATGTAGTAAACTTTAGGTGTACAACAGATTTATGTAAAAATTTTGAAAAAATTATGTGAACTGAGAGTTTTGCCGACCTCAGGTGGGAATTAGGTCGGCAAATGCCGACCTAATTTGGAAATTAGTTAAGGAAACTTTTCATTCACATAAGTTTTTCATAATATTTCATACTTAGTTACTTAGTCCTACTGCGCATACACATACCGAATCCCGCGCGATTTCGTTACCTCTGCGTTGCAAACGAGCCATTTTTCCATTTCTTTGGTAGCGCAAAATTTCGGAAAAAAGTTTGCCACAACCTTCAGTCACATAATTTTTCAATGAAACTTCTCAGTTAAGCCCTGCAATTCCGTGTGCATGTACTTACCAAGTTTCATGCCATATCGTTCATCTGCGCGTTCCAAACGAGCCGTTTGAATTCACATCTTCATTTACCAGTTTTGCGAAATTCTCGGAAAAAATGCTAATTACTCGTTCCATTCACATAAGTTTTTCATAAATTTTCATACTATGTTTCCACTAGCCTCTCTCCGTTCGCATACAAAATTTGGTGCCATATCGTTAAACATACATTGAGAACTAGTCATGCATGCTGTTACAAATAGCATCGCTTGGGCGACGTCGCGCGTGCGGCAATTAGCGACGGCGCGGTTTGACGCGCGCGAACTCCAGTGTTCGCCTGTTGAGGCACATAACATGTCAAGATAAATAGCGAACATGAACTACCAATTTTTTTCCGGGGCTCCGCCCCGGACCCCGCTAAAACGACTTCCCCTTTGCTTTTTGGCCCCAAAACGATTTCCAGCTTGCATTTGCCGACCTCGTGCCGGGCCCTGGCCTCAGCCTGTGGGTCTTAAGCGTTGTGTTCTATTTGTTAAGGTTCTGGTATGTTGTCTTGAAAACGTTTCTTTCATTGATTTTTGCTTCGAAGGAAGTCCCCGGTTTATTATTTTCTCAGTATCTTTTCGCGCCCGTATCGGACAAAGAGTATGATGATGTTTTTTCCCAGCGCACAATTTGCAGCTCGCCCCTGTGCATTGTTTTGAAGAATGTCCCTCTTTGGCGCAATTAAAACATCGCTTGCTCTCTTCAAAGAATTTGCGGAATCTAAATCTGAATCTGTTCTAATGTCGCGTACTTTGAACAAAACAAAGCGCGATGCTGCTGTGAACCGCAAAATATGCATGCTGGTGAGATGATTGGGATGTCAAGCGGGGATGTTATTTTGTTTTTGAACTGATTAATTGGCTCTCTTACAATCATGTCACTTATACGTTCTTCAGTTGCTATTTGTTTATCTAAATCTTCTAAGAGCTCTTCGATTTTCCAATCATCTTCATTTCGACAGTTTTCCATTTTATGCTCAAGAATCTTGCGTTGAATTGAGGCGCTGAATTTGGCTAGTATCTTTTGTGAATAGAAGGATCCATTTAAGCTCACTCCTAGCTTTTGTAGTTGGATCGTTAGGGGATAATAAACTCCAAAAGTTTCCTTTGCGCCTGTATAGTGTACTTTTCAGCTTTTGCATTTTCAAGGCGCGATTGCAGCCGCGAAATGAGTTTGAATTTATCCCCATATTTTCTCTTTAGTAAGTCTACCGCACTGTCATAGTTATCTTCTGATATAGGATATCTCTGTATAATTTCTTTAGCTTCCCCTCTCAAAGCGCTTATCAAATAGTTGAATTTTTGTAATTTTGTTAGTGGTTGACTATTTACGTTAGCTTTAAATAATGTCCAAAAGTTTTCAAACTCCCAAGCTTTTCCTGTAAAAATTGGTATCGGGATTGCTGGTAATTTTGGTCTCGAAGTTGCACTTTGCCATTCATTAGAAGCAACGTTGTTTGAAGAGTCCAACTCTTTACGCGCGCTGAATACTTTTGCCTCTAGATCTATAGCCAGTACTCGCGCCTGTCCTAGACTTTGATGTGCTTTTTCAATATAATCTTGTGCTTGCGCTTCTTGATCTGTGGTTATTGATTCTCCCAATGAGTCAACCGTGACCGTAAAGTTAGCCAATGCCTCATCTACCAGTTTTGTTGACGCAGTTAGTTCAAAAATCAGTTTTTGTACGCGCACTCTCGTTTTTGGGTCAGCATAAAAATTTGTGTCCAAATCAGCGAATTCCTTACTTTTATCTATGATACTGTTTAAATTGTTGCAGTAGCGTGTTAATAGCGCTTTTTGTGATTTGAGCGTAACAGGTCCTGCCATCTTTTCAAATTACCAAGGCAGAGGGAGAGTTGCGAAAAGAACCTTGGTTGAGTTTGGAAATAAAAATCGTAATTTGCGCAGAGTGACCAAGGTGGAAAAGCGAAAACCTTGGTGAGATTTCAGAATGGAGGTGACAAGGTGACAATCGTTAGTCTTATTTAACCTTATATATGGATATTAGTATGCACAATTCAAATAAATTGTAATTCAAAATAATTCACTCTGCGCAATTTCCAAAATCAATTGCTGTAAGCGTACCGGCTTCCTTGATTTCCTTGTCGATTGATTGTCCTTGGGCCGATGCACCAATTTAGTGGTTCAGTTTTCTTGCCACACCAACCAACACCATACACACCAAAACCATTTATTGCCACGAGGACGAGACCTCAAATTTGGGTAATTAAACCGTGATTCTTTACTTTTGCAAATAAACACATTATACAATGTTCCGATCAATCAATCAATCACAATCTGTTGTTCATGCGATTTCACCCAGGCGCTAAATACTACAAAAGCGAGTCAAATGATCAAAATTACGCGTTCAAGATTGCGTGCGGGCGAAAAACGTGAATGAATATGAGCAAAGGTGAGAATGATGAGAAAAAGACGAATCCCATCTGGCGACGAAGGATCTTTGCCGCGGCATGACGGTTGCATTTTATATTTGTTGTTGATAGCCGTCGTCGGCGTTCTCTGCAAAGATCAGCTTACAAGATAAGAAGAGACATTGGTTAATGTAATAAACAAGAGATCGCGCTTCCAAGCAGCGAACTCCCCGTCTTTCTTCGCGGAAATGCCTCTGTACTGCCGACCTTTGCATGGTGTTTTGTTGTAGTGAAAATATGAAGTACTTGTAGCCTGTAGAAACTGTCCATCTGATTCATGCACAGATTTATTAGGTTGGAAACTAAGTTTTGCAAATGGTCTCATAAATTCCCTCTCACTCGGAAGACGGTCGATTCGCACGGACAGCAATGTTTGCTCCGGGAGCCTCAGGGTAAGCTCAGGCAAATTGGATGAGTTGGTCGTTTAAACGTTGTTTTTGGCTGCTAGCCAAATTAGCAGTGGGGCACGCTTGCAATCGATCTAGCGTCAGCTGTGAATTCATCGTCTCGTGGGAAAAGTTGTGCTTTGTGTTCTAAGAGCGATGTTGTGTCAAACTTTCGTCATTTTCAGGATTTTGCGGTGAAAACAGCGCAAAGCTGTAGAAAATCCAGCGATAAGTTGATAGTTGTTTATAGTCAATTGTGTTTCTAGCGGGTCTTTCGAGCAATTAGTCGTTTTTTTCGTTACCTAGGCTATTGAACTTTCCTTTATACATTTACCTCATAGGTGATAGCCTTTTTTGATTCGTATGTGAGGTTTTGTCTTACCTCGGAATATATCTCGTAGTTTTCCGTACCAGTGAAGCACTACTCATCTAGCTTCCCTAATTTGTATTATAGAAGCGAGCATTCCCTCAGTTGTATAGCTGTGAACCTCTCGTATTTAGTTGGTTGATATCTTTTAGTGCAGTTCATATATGCTCCTGTGCTCAGACAGAAATGGTCTCGGCAGATGTCGGAGTCTGATTTGTAACAACCTTCGACTAGTCAGCACTAGTCGAAGGTTGTTACAAACTACTTCCACATTAAGTGCCTATTTTTCTCTGGAGTTGGCCTAAATTAGTTTATTTTCCGATCTGCCATGCAGGCAAGATTACTAAAAAAATTCTGAGAGTACAAAAGGATGCAAGTAACGACAGATCAAAACTGCTTACTACCAACTATCCAAAAAAAGTGAGTTCAGTGTTCGCTCATTTCTCTTTATGCTGTGAATCATTCGTATATGGTGTCTTTCATCGACCGCCTCCGCAAATGCTTCTTCAAATTCTCGATTGCGTATTACATTTATGTGTGTTCTTACTACAGTGATTGAGATACGTCCTTGAATTTTTTTGAATCCATCAATCTTGTATGGGGTGTTTGAGACAAGCATTTTTCAAAAGTACTTCATGCTCTGAAAATAAAAAATCTCAATTCGTTATTGCTCCTTCGAATAATATCACATATACACAATAATTATACGATAATATCACATATCACATATACAATCGATATACACGTATAGACTTTTGTCAGGACTGCATCTGACCCTCTGCTGAAACTCCGTCAGCCTGAACGTGGCGAGGGTCACTTTTTGCGAACTACCTCAATTACAACTTTTAAGTGATAATTGTCCATAATAAATGACGAATTTCCAAAGAAAATGAAGCCAGTAAGTCTAAGCTGATAGCATGCATGACTAGCGATGGAGAGCGGGATGACTCATCATGTCGAGAATTGGCAAGCATTAATTCGCGAAAAGCGCTTGTCGAAGAAAACTGCCGGATATCTCTGAAAGGTCCCACCACAAAAAAAAACAGGTCAGATGCAAATCAGGAGTTGGTCCTTCAAAAACAAAACGAAAAAAAACTACATGACAAAGAAGTAAACACCGATGCGTGTCTATTGCTCCCATCGCGTCATCGGTTCTTGATACACCTCAACGGTAGACTAGATAATCTGTCTAGGTTCAGCCTCTCCCAGGGAAAGGCCGTGACTATCTTGTGAGATCGAGTCGGTCACCGGTGATAGCGAAGACGCAGGACTTAGCCCAGTTCCCGTGGCTAACACTTCTGCAAAAACAATTTGTAGAGAGACCACCGAATCCGCATCACGCATAGCAAACCTGTTCATTCGGTAATACTTTGCTCTGGCCTGTTCGGCTCTTCTTACTCGTCTCATCTGGGCTTCAGCAACAGCTCGCCTGGTTTCTTCGTCCAATGTGTCCAGTGAACAAGTTTCAGTCAAGTGACATAACTCTTCATCCCGTTGTCTAGCCTGCGAAACACATACATGCAATTAAACAACTTTCAAAACAAAGCTGATAGCACTACCTTTCGCAATAATTCAGCACGTTTGGCATTTTGCTGCTGGCGTAGCTCTGGTCGCATGCTGTGATATCTACAAGAACTACTTTTTACATCAATATGCTGAGAAGTAGAATTGAGATGTTGTTCCATAGCAGTTGTCAATTCATTGGAATCCAACAACGACATAGAGTGACTTGTTTCAAACGACGAGCTCATGCCGGAAGAATCACTCGTGTTTCCAGATACTGAAGGTAGAAAGCTTATAAACATAACAGTTTTAGTGACAGTATGCAAATTATAATCTGACTAACCTTGCGAACAATCGAATTTTCAAGACCTCGATTTTCACGGCTCAGGGCTCTCATCTTTTTTTGCCTGTCAACGCTTTTATGCTTTTATTTGCGTAAATTTGCAAGGCGACCCAAACATCTGAACTTTGCTCTCGATACTTTTGAAGGTCAATCTAAATCACCTAGAGGTACTGAACCAGTCAATCTACTTTTCCCAAAATTTAACCCTTAGTTTACCTCTCCTTCACTGGAGTCGCGCAGCAACTCATCCAGGCAAGGTCACTCAGTTGAAACTTTCTTGGCTCTTCTGGGGTTGAAATGACAAGTTTATCAAGCACTGGTCTGACCTGCATTATACCATCAAAAACTCGAAAATGCAATGTCAAATCGATAAGATGTTCAAAGAGTTCAAAGTTTCTCATGATGAATCACGAAGATTATAGCAGATAAATATCATCATAAATCAAAAAAAAACTTGAAAAAAAAAAGCATACCTCTTTGATTATGTATGTGTAGATGACATCTCTATTTTTCTTTGATCCTTGATCTTAATCGCTTCCGAAAATCGAACGCAGAGAGCGACGTTAACGCGGCGACAAGCACGAAGGGCCGCTTCTACCACCTGCAAAGCACATAAGATAAACACCATCATGCACTCAAACAGGAAGGATACTAAGTCGATCCAGCTTTTTTGGATCCAGTGCATACCAATCCATGCATGTCAATGCGCTGATTTTAATTCTGTCTTCGTTAGCTGCTGATCGCTCCTCAGAAGAGAATTATGAGCCCCTCTTCCTGCGAATTCATTGGTTCTTAAAAAGCAAAATCCCTCAAATTGATGGAAATGCCTGTTATGTGCCAAAAAGGAACCTTTAAAGAAGAAAGGATAGTTGTACAACGTTTGAAACTAATCTAATAGATTAAAATCGAAAAAGTAGTCCACTGCTTTCCTTGGATCACGGCGAGCAAAAGTCGCAAAGAAAAATGCCCATAACTTCCGGAGCTCCTCAGCAGCCACCGTACACAAATTTGGAATTAGCGCACCAGGCTGCATCAGAAGACATGCAAGTCATCCAACAATAAAAAGGCCAAACAAGTTAGTAACAAGTTAGTCCCTTGTCAGTGTAATTCATTCCCAACTTCGTGCTATTCATAGTTAACTGAGTTTTTGGCGGCGGAGCATGAAGTTACTATCATTAATACATCATCAAAGGGGATAGTAGCAACTATTTAGTATCTAGTCACTAGCCATAGCACGAAACTGAGACTAAACGATAGCTTCACGCTACTCATGCCTCTATCAAAAAACCATGATGAAAAAAAGGCGCAAACGAAAAGAGCTTACTTTGGGAGGTATGACATCGTAGTCGTAAAGCTCGGTGAGAGCTGGAATATTGGATCGGAAAAAATGCAAAAATAATATTGTAGATCAAGAGGAAAAAAAACGCTTAGAAAAAACTGTACAGTGCAACGTACCTTTACTCACTTCCCAGCCATCAATTTCTGGTCTGTCGAAATAATCGATGGAGTGTTTGTCAAACTCTGCAAATCGAACGAGTGAATGTGGTGAATTTATAAAAATTCCAAAACTGAACTCACTCTTGGTCATTTTTCCATAATATCATCTGCCTTGCTGGAGAAACAGTTAGGAGTAGTAGAAACCGTTCGGAGAGCAGTGCCACGTGTGAGCGCCACTCGAGCTACTGAACGGACTAGTAATGTACCCATATCCAAAAATTAAGATAAACTACACTAGTGATCCACGTAATCCAAGTCTGGAACACCTGAAAAAAATAGTGAAAATGAAAGAAACTGATACACCGGGGAAAAGAACTTCTGCAACTGCGATAGAGTGACTTCACCAACAAACTCAACCAGAGCAGCTCAGGCTTCTATTTCGCTCATATGTTACTCTCAAATTACCACTAAAGCTGCTCATGTCTTCGACTTCTCTATATTACCGTTCTTGCAGGCAAAAAAAAAAGAAAACGAAACTAAGACTTTATCAGGCAAAAATTGTTTGAAGTCACAATGACATTCTTTACCAATTACGGAAGCGGGAAACGAACGAACGACTTGATTTAGTAACGACTCACCACATCAATGATAGTGTTCTATAGAGGATATATACAATCACATAAGTGGTTCTCTTCGTTTAGAAACTTGTAAAATAAATAAAGACTGAGAAGTTAAAAAGCTTTTATCGAGTAAGTGGACTCTGCAGTGATACTAATGGTAAAAAAGAGTGAGCAGATTTCAAATTAAATTTCACTTCAGTTAAAAAATACATACATGGCCGGCTTTAGATACAATAAACAACAATTTTACTATGAAAACCGACAAATCCGAAATCCGGAGTAGATGACGAAAAAAGATATCAGAATGGAACTTCCGCGTGGCCGTGCAACCAGCAGGAGCTGCACCGACGACGTTCAGTTTGGGGTCACAACTTGTCCGCGTTGCCTGAGCTCACGCCTTGTTCCTGCAACGAAAGTCGGGAGTGCAGTAGCCCAGCGCGCGAAACGCCATACACCCCTCTCACTCAACATGGCGCACTCAAATTTTGCCGCTGCGTTGGTTATTACGTAAGTGCAGCTGCTGTCCTACCAAATTCTCACGTCGCAGTGAAGGTTACGGTAGGTGCATGGTATGAAGGGAAAAAATTTAAAGTTTGACGGATTTGGTTGAAACTTGGCATAGGGGTGTTATCCGACGTGCTGAGCACGAAAACGATAGTGAAATTGCGTGATAAGGGCTTTTTTGTAGGATTACTACAGGTGTACGATATGGGGTCTACCCTAAACAAGGAAAAAGGCGTTGATTCAACAAATGAATGTGATATTCCCGTTTGACAGCACTTTTTTCTACTTTCCAAAGGCTCGTCATAATTTTTGTATAGATTTTTTTTGATGGAACCACCGAATTTTGGCAGGCTCGTCTCAGACACAATTGCTTCAAACACCAATAAATTTTCGGAGTTCGAAACTTATAAAGATGGATTATGGTTTGACACTAATTTTACAAACCAAATGAGCATTCACCGCTTTAGATTAGCAACTTTCGAAAATTCGGGGTTGGCCTGGGGCGCCTTGGAAAACCTGAATTATGATACAGGGTGCGGCAAAAGTCTGGGAGCCTAACTTTGCAGCACTGCAATTACAAAGATATTGATGGTTTTGATTTGAATTTTATGCCGCATAATGCTGCAGTCATCCTCTACAGAAAACACTTTATTTGGCTGGAAGTTGCTGCCATATGTTTTTGTAAGAATGGAAATTACCAAACTACTACTTTTGCAAAGCGAAAAAATCAGAATTTTTGATATTTACAGTTTTTGCTGTAACTAGAGATGCTGTTAATATTTTACAAAACTTTGATGCACACAACATAGAAGAGGCTTTGCGCTATTGTATCCCAGTTTTGCTTTTGCCAGGAGCTGTTCTTGCATGAACGGAAAATAAAAGTTTGCGAATGTTACCTACATGCCAGTGGAAATCCGTCTTCAGAACAAATTTGAAAGCCGTAGAATGCTCAACAGGCACTGGGACCAAGGCTGTATTTCTTGCATACGTCTTCTAGATTAGATATTGAAATTCGGCCATGGGAACATCTTTTATACTTTTTAAACGATATTTTTAAGTTTTTATTCGCGCAATCGTAGCCAAAATTCCGGTATGCGACGTACAGATGCTTCTAACTAAAAATCCAATATTTTTATCTCTAAGCAATGCAAAAAATTCTTTTGGAAGTATGTTGTAGACAAAAGTTTGCTCTATCACGCTGCACATTTGCCAAGGTAAAAGAAGCAGTTATTGTGAAGCCGTGGGGCGAATTCTATTACGACTACCTGCGTGCCATGACAGATGGACTTGCCAAGATTTTGTAGACCTGCGTGGAAGCCAAAAGAGGCAGTTTCGCAAATCAAGAACTGGGCTGTATCTGCAATGGTTCGAATTATGTGTGCGCCAAATTTTTCGTTTCTAGGCACTTCCCTTCTCGTTTTGTAGCGAGTTTCGCGTCAAATTAGAAAATGTCAAAACTTGTGTAATAGGGTTTTTAAGGACGCTGAGTTCAATACTCAACTATTCACAAGATTGCGAAGCTTTCTAAATGGTGTAACCGCACTTTTTAAGAGCATTGAAAAAATGGCCGCTACCTCTTACCCGGCATAACTCTTCAATGAAGCACCATAATTAATTGGGAACTTTAGAACCAACAACATTAGCCTAGTGTAAAAGCTTAGCTGTTTTGTTTCCTTTCTGAGGCAAAATATGATCTTTCATGGCTCAAAACCCTCTTTGAAGTTTCTACCGTAATCCTACAGTAATGAGGAGATGGGTGATTCGTTCCATACTGCAAATCTAAGTATAAGCTAGCTCTACAAAATGGTACCTGAAGCAAGGCAAAAGACTTCTTGGGAAAAGAGATATTAACGATCAAACAGTGTATACATACTTTACGGACACCCTGTATATTAGGCTGTCCCGAAAGTTCGTTCGCACCATTTTCAAAAAATCATAACTTCTGATTTTTCAACCGAGTTCATTGCTTTTATTTTTGTATGAAAGAGTAAGTCATGCTCTTTATAAGGACATTCTAGCTGCTTACTAATGATCATCTCTTGCATATATAGGAGCGGTAGAAGAAAATTAGTCAAAATTCGAATTTTCTGTGTGGGGTCATAAAAAATCGGAAACTTGCAACAAAAATCGGGCAGATTGAACCGTTCCGAAAGTAATGTCGCTTTTTTCAAACGTGTGCCACATCTCGTGGAACAAGGATGTGTAAGCG